CCCAGGCTGTGCTCTCCTGTCATGTCATGGATCTGATCCTTCTGGACAAATGAGAAGATCAAGTAAATTAGCTCTCCACAATTACTCTAGAAATGTAGTAGTCATACTGAGAGAAAATAAATTTTATCCTCAGGTAAAACATGTTTGGTTTAATATGGCTCTACTAAATAATTTTTCAAATGACAAGTCACAACAGTAGCCCAGTATGATAGAAAAAAGGGTAAGTTTGTTTTAAGTAGCACTTTTATCGTGCTTGCACTTTTGGTGAGGCAGATACATGAAATAATAATTAATAATTAGTTCTGTTTCAATACACACATTTAATTCTATAGTCTGAATGGTACTCTTATACCTAGGCTAACCTATTTTAAAACTTTTTCTGAATGTTAACTGAAGTTGCAACGTATTTTACTGAACTAAACTTACGTGTGTTCAAATGAGTATGCTTCATTTTTAATGACAGCTCTGCTAGCACTGACACAGGTCAGTTTGACTTTTTGCCCAGGACTTACGTAAGAAGCCAGTTTTAAAAAGTGGGTTTATGAAATTTGATCTGTACATCTTGTATTTGCTGCCCAAAGCTATTAACTGATGCCCAGGGAGAATGAACAGCACAAAACACTTCCTGGATTTTGGGAACTAAGTGTAGACCTGGGAGGAACATTTTGAAAAATTTTGAGAGTATTGTGAATTGTAGTTGTTAAGCATACAGCAAGGAAGGTAGCATTTTATGAAAACCAGAATATTTTTCTCTATAAAAGGATATCTTCTTTTCTTTTAATATAGAAATAAGGTTATAAATCACAGTAAGTCCAAGGGTTTAGTCATTGATGGAAGAATAAGAAGTGGTAGCCAAACATGGTGAGAAGCTGCCTCTTCTTCTTTCTTCTTTTTTGTCTTCCCCTTCCAGGTTACTTTTTTGCACTTTGTCAGAAATTAGTGCATGTTTAGTGGGAAAAATACAACGGAAAATAGGATTTTAAACACAAGAAAACTGATGGCCACACAAAGGGCCAAGTGAAGCTGTTTGGAGTTTTTTGTTTAATTTTTTTTAAGCTCTTGAAGTGATTTAATATTATTAAATATTTTATCAGGAAGTCCTGTGTGTTTTGGCAGTATGCATATATGTAATTGCTGCTCAACTGTAAGTCCAGTAGCACACAAACTATCACTGTATTTTTCCAAATTGATAGTTAACAGATTTCCCGGTCGCCAAGCAGAGACAGTCTTTGCTGGGATGCCATCTCTTTTCGCAGCTTTCTGACTCTGTACAGTCCTTCTCCCTAGGCTCACAACGATGTCATGTAAATGCAAAGATATTTAGGGAGGAGTTTATATGTTAGGGTTTGGTGTTGAATGCAGCTTTCATTTTAGGCCAGATCCCACCCAGTGCAGTGGGATCAAGGAAGACTTTCTGCTTCTTTGTCCAAAGCCAAAACTTACATCTTTCTGATATTTAAAAAAAACAAAACGAAAACCAAACAACAAAAAACCCAAACAAAAAAAAAGTCTCCTCACAAATTTTAGAGTTTAGAACTGTGTTACACAGGCGTAGTATTTGAAATATCACTTTGGTGTGTTGTAAAAGCAATGATGACACAAAATGTTGTTTTTCTCTCAATAGTTATGTGAAGGGAAGGGACGTGAGTAGTAACTTCTAAAATTCGCAAACTGAACACCTGGAGATAATTATATTTTTAAAATGTTTTCAGTCTGAGTCAGAGTTAATGGCAAATGGGAATAATATTAGATTGGCAGATGATTAGTAGAATTTATCATTATAATATGCTTAGCATAATAAGCATGGTGGTCTTGATTATTCAGTGACAGTGTTTGTAGTAATTTTTCCATTAAAAGACTATGTCAGTCTGTCAATAAATGTAGCCATTAGATCAAGTATGCCATGCTTAACACATGTCTGGTTTCAAAAATAATACTAGCTTTCTCCAAGAAGATGAGACATCAGTAGTCTTCAGATGGTGTACAAAACAGACCTTACGCAGATTGCACTTAAAAACATTAATTTTATAAAAAGACTGAAACATTAAATATATGCAGGTCCTAGTAGCAGCCCTGCCTCTACTTGTATGTAAGTCAACACTAAACAGGTCCAGGCAGGTTATGAAAAAATAGCTGAAAAGTCTTCTCATTTTGTTGGTAAACTACACAAGTTGTGGTTACATACAGAAGGAGTAAGTGACAGTTTCACAGGCTTACAACGTTATAATATCTTTCAGAAATTGTCACAAAATTCCACAAAAAGCTTGTTCAGCTTTTTTTTTCTTTTTTTTATACATCTCTCTGTAGAATGGAAATGCTCTCTGACAGGTAGCCTGTAACTTGGTGTGTGATCAGCTGTTAGCCTTAGTTCTCTTAGGTAATTTTTTTTTTATTATCAGCAGTTCAAAACACTTTCTTTTTATATTAACTCACTTGTTTCAGACTGGTGCTATGAAACATTCATGCAAATAGTAGTCAGTAACATCTCAGTTTAGTACCAGAACAGTACCAGTTAAAGTTGCCAGAAAAGAAGTGTTCATATAATTTGGGTTAATAACTGAGATCAATATTTTGTCTAGTTTATTCCTGATCATGGGTTACAAGGAGGTACTCAGTCTTATGCTAGTCCCTTGCTCTTCTCAACTGCCAGGTTTTCTGCAAGGAAGTAACACCCTCTCTTCCTTCAAAAAGGGGAAAAAAAAAAAAAAGTCAAAACAAACTCCCAAAGATGGCATTAGTCATCCAGTGGTTTATTAGAGATTATTTGTAACTGTGATAAGAACTTGGACTTTGAATTTTCTAAATATACAGAAGGTGAGAGTATTGAGCAATTTTCCTCATTATCTCACAGAGTAATCTCACAGGGTGTAGCATCGCTGAACTAATGGCCCGCTAATAGTAACTTATCAGAGCTGCTCGGGGATTCTTGCCATTGCTATAAAAAGACATTTGGCAATAAGCAGTGTGTCATATTAGAAGCACAGCCATTTACTAGAACAGAAATATGCTAACACACTTCACTTACAAACTCTTCAATGGCATCTGGTTCTAGAAAACTAGATTATTTTGAACATCACAGGTAACTAGTTGTTCTAAATACTATAATTTTTAAGTAGTTGTTTCTTGAGATGGGTGATAAATTGCTGCATTTGTTACGTATTTGTTGGGCATTTCACCTGCCCTCTCAGAGCTTTTTGGTAAATACTAA